AAAACTGCCATTAACCATTACAACTGTTGAAAAAAAGTTCATAGTGTTGGTAATTTGGCCAATTTTATTAAAAATTAAAAAACAATTAAAAAAAAATGCCCAAATAAACACTTTTGACTTTTTGATTAAAAATTTTACTCTGTTCATTAATCAAGTCTAGGGGCCCCAACATGATTCCAGTAATAGATAAACCCTGCCCAAAGAGTGAAAGGTTGGGATTTTGTACTTTTTTCTGAAAAGCTTTATTTCACATGATGAGTTTCTACTTGTATTTCCATGGGCGGTTCTAAAAAAAATTTGGGTCTTTTATTTTTGTCTATGAAAGCCCCTTTCCTTGACTTTAAAATATTTTTTTTTTTTTTTTTTTTTTTTTTTTTTTTTTTTTTTTTTTTTTTTTCAACAAGTGGGCCGCTCCCAGAGGGGGGTGACCCAAAAAAAAAAAAATAAAAAAAAAATATTTTTATCTTAACACTTTCACCACACTGCCATTATCACTGTTTTTGCAGAGGTGCTCGAATACAACAGTCTGAAGCTACACATATAAAGATACACAAAAAACCCCCCAAACTGCCAATATCCCCAAAACCCCCCTTTAAAGGCAGCATTGTACTTCCATTTCCGGCCAAATCCCACAAGAAAATAACCGGTTTCCGAATCCCTTCCAAAAAATTCCCTGCTCCACTCCAACAGATGTAGGTCCAAGTACCTTTGTCCCTTACCTATTAACACGCCACGCACGCTTTCTGGAAAATCCAAGCCCCTTACCCCCAAACCTCCTTTACCCCTTCTCCAACCCCCTTTTGAGGGGGACCCCTACCCCCCCTTCCTCCCATTTTTATTTTATGCTTTCCTGTCATTCTACTTTTATCCCTTCTCTCTAAATGACAAAACCCCCTCCAAAAACCCCCTTTGCCCCCCTGATAATACTTTTATTAACTCCCTTTCCCAAATTTCCCACCCCAATTTTCTGCATAAAATTTACACCACACATTGCCTTAAAAAAGGCTCTCCCTGCCTCCAACCCTCTTCTGCTGCTGCATTTACCCCCCCAAACTTCCACCCCTTAAGAGGGGTTTTGGTACTACTATATTTCATACATTCCCTTCTTTGCCCCCTAATAAAGTTTTTTTCTCCAATTCCTCAAAGCACATCACCTTTTTTCCCCCATCAAAATTTTATGATTAATCATCCCCTTCATAAATCATCCCCCCGACACGTCAACCCCCAAGTATCTGAAAAATTCACTTCTTCCATACTCCCCCTCCCCAATTTTATATCCAATTTTTTTTTATCTAAATCATTTGACACCTCATCACCTTACTCTTTTCTATGTTCACTTTCAACTTTCTACCTTTACACACTTCCAAACTCATCCACTAACCTTTGCAATTTTTCTTTAGAATCTCCCATAAGCACAGTATCATCAGCAAAAAGTAACTGTGTCAATTCCCATTTTGAATTTGATTCCCATAATTTAATCCCCCCCCCTCTCCCAAACACCCTAGCATTTACTTCCTTAACAACCCATCTATAAATATATTAAACAACCATGGTGACATTACACATCCCGTCTAAGACCTACTTTTACCGGGAAATAGTCTCCCTCTCTTCTACACACCCTAACCTGAGCCTCACTATCTTCATAAAAACTCTTTACAGCATTTAATAACTTACCACCTATTCCATATATTTGCAACATCTGCCACATTGCTCCTCTATCCACTCTATCATATCCCTTTTTCTAAATCCATAAATGCAATAAAAACTTCCCTACCTTTATCTAATACTGTTCACATATATGCTTCATGTAAAAAACTTGATCTACACATCCCCCACCCACTCTGAAACCTCCTTGCTCATCCGCAATCCTACATTCTGTCTTCCTCTAATTCTTTCAATTATAACCCTACCGTACACTTTTCCTGGTATTACTCAGGTAAGCTTATTCCTCTATAATTTTTACAGTCTCTTTTGTCCCCTTTCCCTTTATATAAAGGGGACTATACATGCTCTCCGCCAATCCCTAGGTTTCCTTCCCCTCTTTCATACATTTATTAAACAAAAGTACCAACCACTCCAACACTATATCCCCCCCCGCTTTTAACATTTCTGTCATGATCTCATCAGTACCAGCTGCTTTACCCCTTTCATTTTTGTAATGCCTCACGTACCTCCCCACACTTACATTCTGCTCTTCTTCACTCTAAAAGATGGTATACCTCCCTGACCAGTGCATGAAATTACTGCCTCTGTTTCTTCCTTAACATTTAAAAGTTTCCTCAAAATATTCTCGCCATCTACCTAATACCTCCATCTCCCCATCTACTAACTCCCCTACTCGGTTTTTAACTGACAAATCCATATTTTCCCTTGGCTTTCTTACTTGTTTAACTCACTCCAAAATTTTTCTTATTTTCATTTAAAATTTCTTGACAGTGCCTCTCCCACTCTATCATCTGCTCTCCTTTTGCACTCTCTCACCACTTCTCTTTACTTTCTTTTACTCTCCATTTATTCTGCTCTTCTTATAACACTTCTGCTTTGTAAAAACCTCTCATAAGCTACTTTTTCTCTTTTATCACACCCTTTACTTCATCATTCCACCAATCACTCCTCTTTCCTCCTGCACCCACCCTCCTATAACCACAAACTTCTGCCCCACATTCTAATACTGCATTTTTAAAACTATTCCAACCCTCTTCAACCCCCCCATTACTCATCTTTGCCTATCCCACCTTTCTGCCAATAGTCGCTTATATCTCACCCGAACTTCCTCCTCCCTTAGTTTATACACTTTCACCTCCCTCTTACTTGTTGTTGCCACCTTCCTCTTTTCCATCTACCTCTTACTCTAACTGTAGCTACAACTAAATAATGATCCGATATATCAGTTGCCCCTCTATATAAACATGTACATCCTGGAGCCTACCCATCAACCTTTTATCCACCAATACATAATCTAATAAACTACTTTCATTACGTGCTACATCATACCTTGTATATTTATTTATCCTCTTTTTCATAAAATATGTATTACTTATTACCAAATTTCTTTCTACACATAGCTCAATTAAAGGCTCCCCATTTACATTTACCCCTGGCACCCCAAATTTACCTACTACTCCCTCCATAACATTTTTACCCACTTTAGCATTGAAATCCCCAACCACCATTACTCTCACACTTGATTCAAAACTCCCACGCATTCACTCAACATTTCCCAAAATCTCTCTCTCTCCTCTACACTTCTCTCTTCTCCAGGTGATACACGCTTATTATAACCCACTTTTCACATCCAATCTTTATTTTACTCCACATAATCCTTGAATTAATACATTTATAGTCCCTCTTTTCCTGCCATAGCTTATCCTTCAACATTATTGCTACTCCTTCTTTAGCTCTAACTCTATTTGAAACCCCTGACTAATCCCATTTATTCCTCTCCACTGAAACTCTCCCACCCCCTTCAGCTTTGTTTCACTTAAAGCCAGGACATCCAGCTTCTTCTCATTCATAACATCCACAATCATCTCTTTCTTATCACTCTGCACAACATCCACGCACATTCAGACTTCCCACTTTGACAATTTTCTTCTTATTATTCTTTTTAGTAATCTTTACAGGAAAAGGGGTTACTAGCCCATTGTTCCCGGCATTTTAGTTGACTTTTACAACACGCATGGCTTACGGAGGAAAGATTCTTATTCCACTTCCCCATGGATATAAAAGGAAAATTAATAAGACCAAGAACTATTAAGATAAAATCAAAGAAAACTCAGATGAGTGTGTATAAATAAATGTGTACATGTATAATATTCCTTTATTACCTTAAAAGCAAAATAAACAAACAAAATATGTATTGGAACAACTTTTTTTTTTTAGGGAAGCTTTAAACTAATTAATATCTCTCATAATGTTGATAATTATTTTAACTTTACAGAAGAAGAAAGTAGTAGAAGAAAATATGGAGACAGATGATGTTGCAGAGAGATTAGAAGCAGGACCATCTGAAGAAATGGATGAAAAGAAGAAAATTGTCAGAGAGGAACAAATGTCAGAAGATGAGGATAAAATTGAAGAGGAAGATCAGTGATAATGGTGATTCGAATATAAAAAAAAGAATACCTTGTCCTCCAGTAGTGCACAGACTTCATTCTTATGATCTTTCATAGTTAGGTTTTGGAGTTTAATTGACCACCTCTGTACACTAGCAGTTACCATCTAAGCTGTCTTGGTTACAAGATTTCACTTTTCATGAGTTTTAAGTCCACAGCAGTACAATACAGTTTAACCCACAAATTCCTACTTTGTGCACTTTCATTATCCAGTATTATTACTGAAAGGTCTTATGAATAACAGCTTATCATAGAAATCTTGTTCAAAGTATGAACCCTGAATTTGTCAAGTCCAAGGTTAAAACAAAAATTAATGGGATTTGGCCTTTGAAAGTCAAAATGTGCCTAAATCTTAAATTTTTTTTTTTTGGACACACCACTTGTATCCCACTGAGGCAGGGTGACCTAAAAAGAAAAAAAAAGTCTCTCTTCAAATTTAGTAATTTATGCAGGAGAAGGGGTTAATTTTATTATTGTACAGATAAAATTTAGTGGTATTTGTGAATTTTTATTTCACTGGGGCCGCTTGAACAACACTCCCGTGAATGCGAGTTTGTATGTGTTATCTATAACAACTAACTTTTATGAAGGGATTGAAGGAAACCACTTAACTGGGCTTGAGTCTTAGATGTGGGGGTATTAGTCAGAGGGTAATCTGATTGATGTCAACACACTTATGGACAAATGGTGATTGAGTGAATGTGTTTTCTTGTTTGGGTCATCCTGGCTTGGTGGAAAATGGCCATCAAGTTAAAAAATCAAATTACAACTTAAAACATCCTATTGATTTTCTTGGCACCTGGTGTATTAAAGTAAGTACACTATGCATGCTAGTTTAAACAATGTATTAAACAAAAAAAAAAATAAAAACTGTATTCATGCTCATTCATAAATAATTTATTCATTAGCTCCTTTAAGTTAATTTTGCATGAACTTGGATCATACATTTGTTCTAATTACGATGGTTAATGGTCATGATAAAATTTGAAAACATTTTCATGTTCCAGTTGAGGTTAGTATACTGCTGTTTTATTTTTAGATGCTTTAGTCCTGTGATCCTAGTTTTTTTTTTCCAACAGGGCAAGCACTGACAGGATTGCTTAACCCCACCATGGATGGTCTTCTGAATCAATGATTGATCCTAAAATTTCTAGACTGAGATACCTAGAATACCCTGTATCAGATTTCTCCATTTCTTACCATGGACAGTCACAGTTGTTTTGTTTAGAGAGGATTAAAGCAACATTCGTGGTTAAGAGCTGCATTGTGTGTTCATACGTGGCAACCCTTCAAGGCTGTAATTTATGAATTGGCTAGTTTTATTAACCATCAAGGGGAGGGGGCAGTACCTTGATGCTAGTGAAGTGTTCTTTTGCTGGGTCTAGACATTTTGGTGTTCAGGACTGTAAGCTTGAAGACTCTTCACATTTGCTCTTCAGGATCTTCCTTGGAGATCCCATTGCCAACTATTTTCCATTGCTGTCTCTGCATTCTAGATTGTTGGCAGCATTGTTGATCCAAGTTCATGATCAATAGACTTTTGGATCACCTTTCATCACTGTTGGCTGGGAACGTGGGGACTAAGTGCTAGACACCAGACATTCTTATGTTCATTTCTTGGACCTGGCAACTTGTAAGGGGTATCAGGTGCTGTTAGCCCAACACCTTTTGATTCCCGTTTGTAAAAGAGTGCGTAGAATTCTTATCAGCCCTCTTCCTCAATGTCCTGTTGCCCTTGGCTGTCTCTTTCTGAGCACTCGACCTTCGGTGTAGACACATTCTCACACTTATCTCTTCATAGTCCAGTTGTTGGCACTCCTCCATCTTGTTGTGCTGTTTAACTATGACAGGTTTAGCTTTTTGTGTGTGTGTGTGTGAATTTAATAATCGCTGTTTTCCATCTAAAGCGTATACAAAGATTATTGTCTAGGTCACTGGATATTCTACTGTTCAGAGCCATAAAATTGCAAATACAGGCAGGCGAGGTGATGAGGGTAGCAAAGGATTTAGGTAATGGAAGATTGGAAGGAGGGAAAATAGAGGAAAAGAATGTGTTCAACACATTTGGGAGTGGATTTGTCAGCAGATGGGTATATGAAAGAGGAGGTGAGCCATAGAATTGATGAGGGGATAAAGGAGGCATATGTGAAAACAAATAAGGTTGGAGGGAGGGGTTAAAGGAGGTTTTGTGTGCGAGGGGCTTGGACATCCAACAGGCACGTGCAAGTGTGTTAAATAGGAGTGAGTGGAGGGGAATGGTTTTTAGGACTTGATAAACTGTTGGAGTGTGAGCAAGGTAACATTTTGTTAAGGGAATCAGAAAAACTGTTTAGCCAGACTTGAGTCCTGGAGGTGGAAAGTACATTGCCTGCACTCAGAAGGAAGGGGTGGGGATGTTTGCAGTTTGGAGGGGCATCTGAACTGTAGTATTGGTGTGCCTCTGGCAAAACAGTGATAGAATGAATGATGGTGAAAGTTTCTTCTTTTAGGTCACCCTACCTTGGTGAGAGAGCCAGTGTGTTAAAAGTAAAAGTGACGTTTATATTAGACCTACATAAATTTGCCTTAGGTTCAAATGTTTTAATTATTTGGTAGATAAACTCTTGGTTGGGGAGTTTCCATATTTTTGAGCCTTTATTTGAATGGCAATTTTCCTTAGGTTAATTCAAACACATGGAATATCAAATGCACACAGTTTGTTTTGTGTATTGCCTGTGCTTTGTTGCAGCTGTCCAAGACTTTTAAACACTGGCTAATATTTGCACTGGCTTGTATATATGCACAGTACATATTTTGTGTTGTAAGCACATTTAAATTTGAATAATGGGGCTGTGTACTTGCCTATTTGTACCTTCGTACTTTGTGCATAATAACTATCGAGTTTGATTTATCCAGTCTATTTGTAGTTGCAAGGGTCGAATCTCTGCTGCTAGCTCCATCTCTCAACTTGCCATTTGCTAGATTCATTACCTCCTAGCCTCTTGAGCCTTATCATACCTGCTCTTGCAACTGTGTATGGAGCCTGCCTCCACCACTTTAAGATCATTCAACTTCCCAACCACTTCAAGACCAAAGAAATGGTTTGTGATGTGACTTTTCTGTGACTTGTCTGTCTCCAAGTACCTGTTTCATGCTTCTCAAACAGCCAATCAGTCGACCTTAATAGTTTCCCTGAACATTTTCCATGTTATTTCTCCCTTGCTTCTTCTGTCCTCTATCATTATATTCACCTCCATTAACCTTTCCTCATAGCTAATACCTGTGAAAATTTGTCTGGACTGCCTTCATGTGAGTTGTCTACCCTAGCAAACTCTGTTGACACCGAGCTCTGAGGTCGGTACCTCAGCCTCACAAGCGGCTTATAGGACAGATTTCCATAAATGACTGATGTTGCAAGAAATCTCGCCCGCATGCACGAATAAAGGACTAACTTACTTGGTGTTGGAGTATGTATCCCGATCTTCAACCTCCCTAAGCTTTAGCCCCTCTGGACTTCCCCTCAGAACCATGTGCAACTGGGAGCTTTAATTCCTGCAATATTCAGTCAGTATTAGTGACCTGCCTGCACCTCAGAAATTCCTGTTTCCAAGGGGGTGTGTATCCCCTAGTATAACTATGCAGAAAGTGACACTAGCTTTTAAGCCTAACGAGGAGACGCCGGTACGTACTGGTCATTGGTTGCCCAGCTGCACAAAGGCCCACAGTTCAACTCACTCACAAATTCCCCCAGAAACTGGCCAGAATACAGTGGACCCCCACCTTACAAACGCATCGCCTTACGTTAAATCCGCCGTACGAAGCATTTGAACGCAAAAATTTTGCCTCGCCTTGTGTGATTCGTCTGGGACACGTCCCACATGTGGCCTCAGCATTAGTGTTTACAAGCCAGCCAGTGCAGTTGCATCTATGCATACATTCGGTACATTTCACATTATCCCAGTGTTATTAGTGCTTGTAACTGCAAAATAAGTCACCATGAACCTCGAGAAATCTTCTAGTGCCATCTGTGTGGTAAAAGGGGCGAGAATTAGTATGGAATTGAAAAGAGATATTAAGGAAATGTGTGCAAAGTGGGTTGAACTGCAAACCTTTATGGATGAAAATTACCCTGACACAGCTGCTGCAAGCCATGTTGGCAACCTGTACAATGACAATGTTATGGCCCATTTTAGAAAAATCTTCAAGGAACGGGAGGTACAGAGCTCTATGGACAGATTTGTTGTGCGACAGAGGTTCAGTGACTCTCAAGCTGGTCCTAGTGGCATTAAAAGAAGAAGGGAAGTAACCCCAGAAAAGGACTTTCTACCTCAGGTCCTAATGGAAGGGGATTTCCCTTCTAAGCAATAACTTCCACACACTCCCCTCTTCCCATCCCATCATTAATCACCAGATCTTCAATAAAGGTAAGTGTCATGTATTCCATTCTTAGTAGAGTAGTAATTGTGCATGTATTCTTCAGTTTGTGTATTAAAATTAATATTTCATGTGGTAAAAAAAATTTTTTTTTCATACTTTGGGGTGTCTTGCATGGATTAATTTGATTTCCATTACGTATTTCTTATGGGGAAAATTAATTTGCCTTACGATAATTTCGGCTTACGATGAGCTCTCAGGAACAGATTAATATCGTAAGACGGGGGTCCACTGTACTGAGAAAGAAAGGGAGGTCTTGTCTTACTGTATGGGACTGACGGAGGAGGTCATCTACGGTACTTCGAGGTGCCTCCACCATAATTCCCCAGGGCCTAGTATGTGTAGACACATGGGGCGCCGCTCTGATGTTCATGGCGATGTCCTCGTTCCGCATTCTCGGCAAAGGAGGAGGCACATCGGTCTCAAAACCCCGTGCCTCGGCATTCAAACTTGGGCTGCCAGTTCTCCCTGGCTAATATAACCTAGTGTTTGCCTACATTACAGGCCTATTACTACCTACATTAAGGTCTTAGGTTGACATTATTATTATCTACAGTTGCCTCAATAGTCCTAATATTAGTTCACTAACAGTATAAACTACCTACCTCTTCCTCGAAGGGTAAATCTATCAATTAAAATGTACCTTCCAACCACCTTCGCCAACCTGGGTGTATGTATGTGTTTTGGGGTGGATGTAAGGGCCAGCAGAACTCAGACGGCCTTTCCGTGGAATATTATTATTATAATAAAAAAGAAGCGCTAAGCCACAAGGACTATACAGCGCTGCAGGGCAGGAAGGAAGCGAGGGCATCAGGTGGCAAAAGGGAGATGGATGAGTAATAGGTTACGGATAACAGCGGGGCAGTGGATGGTGAAAGGGTAAAGGGCAGCAAGAGACTGAACTAGAAAGGGCTGAGGGGAGTGCGAAAAGTATCATCAGAGTTTGTGGAGTAAATCAGTCGTTGTCAAGAAGTCAATGAGAGAGTCAGGATTAAAAGGGAGGGTCCATCAGCAAGAAGGGAAGGTAAAGAGAGGGGTAGTAGAACGAAGACGACGTTGGAGGTAAATTCTGCGTGCTCGTTGATAGAGAGGGCAGTCTAACAGAATGTGGCTAATCGATACTGGAACTTGACACTGCTCACAGAGAGGAACAGGGTGCCTCTCCATGAGATACCCATGAGTAAGACGAGTGTGACCAATGCGAAGGCGGGAGAGAGTAGTCTCCCAACCCTCGCACTGATGACAAGAAGACGGCCAGTAACCTATGCTCGGTTTAATAGAATGAAATTTGTTACCGAGCAGAGTTGACCAACGTTGTTGCCAACGGGTGCGAAGGTGGGTAGCTATTGCAGCAAAATAGTCCAGAAATGGAACACCTCGATAGGAAATTGGTAGGTCATGTACTGCTGACCACGCAGCAGTGTCTGCCTGTTCATTGCCTTGTACGTCGACATGACCAGGGACCCAACAAA